TTTGCTGCCACAGGAAGACGGTGTGGGGGGAATCAGTCAAGCTCTTACAAAAAACCTGAATAAGACAGTTGTTCATGGAAACTCGACACTGGCAGGAAGCTACAAGAGTGGGACTATTACACCACTTTCCAAACTGCTATTCCTCACTCACATTTTTAGGAAAGGTGAGTAATGGATCTTATGCAAAAATGAAATCAATGACCACTGTATGAAACCATATGTACAAGTAAATGGACTAATACAAGAAGCAGGAATCCTACTTTATACAGAAGGGTGGAAGGAATTCCACTACAGACAGATGTCAGGGGCCAACTTCTTACTGACCTACTGAAGAAAGCAGCAAGGCTCAGAGGAAACCAATGCCGGACTCACAAGCACTCGGGACGGAGGGTGAGAACGGCGGCCCAGCATCCTGAGGACGCCCTGCTCAACACCCCCTTGGCCGCGCCCACCACAGGAGCTGGAGGATACACCCTGGAGGGTGCCAATGGCTCCCCCTGCGAAAAGCCAAGTGGTGGGAGAGCCCCCTAGAGGAGCAGACCCCCTTCTCTCAGACGGCAGTTCTGACCAGAAGCCTTCCTTCCAGACCCACAGGGCACCAAACTTGAGGAAGGAGCTCCATGACGCGACTCTTCTGGAAAGCAGAGGAGGGGCCACTTTCAAACTCACTTAATGTAGATAGAAAAACCCAAATGCCCAAACCTCACAAAGACATCACCAAAAAAAGTTATACGCAACACCCCTCACGAACTTAACACACAAATCCTAAACAGCAAATTTATCTCTCCTAAACTGAACAGCAAATTTATCTCTCCTAAACTAAACAGCAAACTTATCTCTCAGTTATTTATTCTTGGCCGTGCTAGCTTTCTGTTGCTATGTGCAGGCTCTTCTCTAGATGGGGCGTAGGCTTCTCACAGAGGTGGCCTTGCTCGTTGAGGCTCGCAGGCTCCAGGCACATGGGCTTCACTAGTTGTGGCCCATGGGCTTAGTTGTTCCACAGCATATGGGATCTTTCTGGACCAGAGAACCGGTCTCCTCTGAGTTGGCCCACAGATTCTTAACCACTGGACCACCAAGGAAGTCCCAAAATAGCAAATTTAAACCATTAATATGTATGGGAAAAAAAAAGATTATACCATGAATTAAATGATGTGGTACAAAGTTCCAAGGTTGATTTAGGCTCCTAAAATTAACTTATTGCACATTTAAAGAATAAAGGAGAAAAACATGTTTATGTTGACAAATCCACAAAAACTGTAACAAAATTCAACAGATTGAGGAAGCATTTTCAGAGTGAGAGGGGTCACCTATGAAAGCCAACAAAGGCAGCAGTCACCCTGCTGTTCCCCCACGACTGGGAATATGTAAGGAGGTCCACTGTGATGACTTTTATTCACTGTCATACTGGAGGTTCTAGTCAATGCAACAAAAGTAACAGAAGGCAAAAAGATCAGAAAGAAAGAAGCAAAGCATCTTTACTTACAGACATCATGATTTTCTACAGAGAAAATCCTAAGGAAACTACAAAAGAATTCTTGGAACTAAGAAGTTAATTTAGTGTTATGTACCAGCAGCAGTAGTTTAAAAGCAAAAAAAAAGAAAAAGAAAAAGAAATTAAGTGGATTTAGAGTACCATCAAAAACAAAGTATTTAGAAATAAGTTTTACAAAATACATTCAAGATCTTCAAGCTGGAAACTACCAAACATTACTGAGAAAAATTAAATAGAATCTAAACAAATGCAGAGACAAACCACAATCATGAACTGGAAAATTCAATTTAAGATGTCAACCCTCCCAAAGTTGATACATAGATTCAATGAATTCCAATCAAAATCCCAGTAGGCATTTTTGGAGAAACTGACACCTTGATTCTAAAAGTCATATGGGAAATTGAAACCTAGAAACCAAGACAATCTTTCAAAAAAAAAGGCGGGGCGGGGGGGGGCAGCTGGAAGACTCAGACTTATCACAAAGCTACATCAAGTCGGTATAGAACTGGCACAGAATAGATGAAAAGATCAGCTGAACAAAACACTGTCCAGACATGTATAACCCACACATGTATGGTCATGTGACCGATCTGCAACAAAAGCACCGAGGCAATTCCCTGGAGAAAGGAATTGGTTCCCCACTCCCTTCCCTCAGCAAATGATGCTGAAACAACTAAGTAACTTGGAAAAAACTGAGACCCTCACAAGTTAATTCGAGATGATGGAATACCTATCTAAACAGGAAAAGCTAAAATTACATTTTTCAAAGAATTGAGAATGTGAAATCAGAGTAGGCAAATATTTCTTAGAGACACAAAATATGATGAACAGAAAGGAAAAAATAGTTGGGTCTTCCTCAAAATTAAAAACTTCTATTCATTAAAGACATTATTAGAAAAATAAAAACATAAGTCCCCAAACGTGAGAAAATGATCAATACAAATATCTGATCACCAAATTGTAAACAGAACTACAAATTGAAAACACCAATTAAAAACACACAAGAGACCTGCCTCACAATGAATACTTACGGAGAACAGTGTTCAGAGATCAGTCAACAGGAAAGGGCAGGTCAGCACACAGAGAGAATACTTCATACCCGCCAAGACGGCTAAGGCTCTAAAAACTATCACCACCAGGCTTGAGTGCACACCACAAACTCGCCTACATTCCTGGTAAAAATGCAAAATGGTAAACTGGGGAAAGGGTTGGCAATTTCTTAGGAGATTACACATCCATTTGCCATGCAATTCACACCTAGGAATTCACTCAAGAGAAATGAAAACATCTGTCCATAAAGAGGCCTGAACAAGAGTACTCTTAGCAGTTTTACTCTCGGTAGCCCCAAACTGGCCAACTCAGCTCTCCAGCAACATGAGAATGAACAAGCTGTGTAATAGTCATACAACAGCCACTACTTCCTAAAAAAGAGTGAACCACTTACTGATGCACACAACAACATGGGTGGACTTTGACAACGCCACTGAATCAAATACAAAAACAGTATATATTGTATGGCTCCATGTATATAAATTTCAAGAACTGGCAAAACTAACCCAACATGACAGAAATCAGAACAATGGATGCCAACGGGAAGGGCTGACTGAAAGGGGGCATGAGGGAACTTTCTAGAGTGTTTTATATCTTGCTTTGGGTTGGAGGTTGTATGGCTTTACATATCTGCAAAAACTAAATGAACTTTATGACTTAAAAATCTATGAATTTTACAATATTATGCAATTTTTGCCTTGGTTTTGTAAATGAAATTGTTAATTCTGAGTATTCACAGACATGATTTTTATGCTATTCTAATTCTGAACACTCCCTCCCTTGAAATTAACCACATGGAACAGACCCCTGGTTTGCGGGCCCCCCACACACCAATCGCCTCCATGCAGAACCCTTAACTTCAGCCAGCACCCAACCACCTCCATGTTCCAGCCTGGCATGGAGCCAGGAGCCAGGGCTGCTGTGGAACGGGAGGCCCTCCCCTCCTCTCCCCACTCTGCTCAGGAGCGGGCTGTGGCACCTAGCACCCAGAGCCCAGCCTGCAGATGCCGAGGGGAAAGCTGGGGGCCGGACTCCCAGGACCGTCCCCCAGCAGACGCAGCTGACTGCCCACCCGCCTATGCTTCTCCCCCAGAGAAGCGGGCCCGGCCTGGCATCTCATCACAGCCTTGGCGGAGGAGCTTGCTCTCCGCGGCCCAGCCCAACCCTGGCCCGACGCAGCGGGCACAGAGCGCAGAAGCCGAGCCAGCCGCAGCCTCCCTCTGATCTCACACTGCGCGGCGGGCGCCGAGGGCGCTTTAAGAGGGCCTTTCCTCCTACCTCTCCTTCCCCAAGTTCACTGTGTCTTTAAAAAAACAAAAGAATTCAACACATGATTTCTGTGATTTACTGTGCAACCAAACATGCTAAAAGACAAAATGACATTTTCTCTACAAAGTATTTGGTGCCTGTGATTTTCTGAACACTACAGCCAGATGGTTCTCATAGAAATAGAGAACAGTGTATTCATATAGTTCAAAGGTTTGCTTATTTTTCGTCTTAAAAAAAGACTATTGATTATAACATGCAGCTCTACAGGAAAAATCTCGACAGAGGAGGTGAAAACTGATATTTATTACTGCACTTGTGCTCATTATGGCCATCTCTGACAGGAGTCCATTAAAATCAATTTTTATGTTTCTTATGTATTTTCTTTATCAAACGTTCCCGGCACTGTGTTTATTAGCCAGTTAAGACAAACGCAGAGCAGAGGAGTGGGTGGTTTTCCCCTCTTCTGTCAGAAAGAACAAGAACTGCAATTTTAACTGCTATTCACAATCAACGAATGAAGGAAATGGAATGTTACATTTCAGAACATTAAAAAGTGCTTTAACTTTATGTTTTTACAATTAGCGAAAATACCAGAGATAGTTCAAAAAAAGGAAGAAGGGAGTTCCATTAGAAATGGTAACATGCTAAACTTCCTCTGAAAAAGGGATTTTCCACCCTTCCCCTCAGCCACACACACGCCAACATCAGACACCATTTCCAAGAGCCCCAGTGGGGCTCCCGATTAAGCGATTCCAGGACTCTGGAATAAAACTCACCTGGCAAGCTGATGAACAGTGAAGGCTGGTACCGATTTAAAAATCAAGACTAGGCAAGCAGCTCCCTGTCACCAAATTTCCAGAGGGATCCCCACAGCCCACTTGCTTAAGAACCAAAGTGTTCAACGCTCACGGTACCTCTGTAAACGTACACATTAACACATTTTGGGGCTCCTAATTACAGGTTTTGCTGCTATGGTTAATCAGAGGTGGAAGGTTCCTGGGCAACAAGCACAGATGCTAAAAATGAACCATCATGGCCCCACCATTTCTAGCGAGATGCTAATTTCTGTGATTTGTAGCATGTGGCTCATGCTACCCTGTGGTCAATGGCGAACAAGCAATAACCATATTCTCGTTGATGCTCTAAACACGCCATGCAGTGGGTGTCACACAGGACGTTCACTCACCCAGTGTCTGGGGTCTTCCAGCCATGCAGCTTTATCCCATGCAGACCCTGCTCACAACCAGAGATCTCCATCTTCCCCAGAGGGCTGTCCATTACTTTGTATTTCATTTCACAGGTCTCGTCCATTCTCCCAAGTACCTGAAGAGAACAATTACTACAGTTAAGCCTATGTGAAAGAGTTTGGTCACTTCTAAAGTATAACAGAAGCCCCAGCTATATAAGACATAAAGCATCTTCCGAAGCTTTTTCCCCCATTTTTTGAATTTAATCATAATGTCTCATTTTTATAACAGTTACTTTAGAGACAGAAAATCACCGTTAATTACACAGAACAGCAGTACGTTCTCCTTTTATTTCCTTAAATTACTATCTCCCTTTCTTCTCATTTATCTCTAACCAATGCACAGTCAAAGATGAAATTAAAGCTTCTCTTAAATAGTCCCCAAAACTATTTAGAATAAAACAATTACCAACAACTTTTTCAATGACAATGGAAAACAAACCATTTGATATTTTGAATAAAGTACATTTAACAATAGAGCAAAAAAAAACAAAACAAAAACAAACAAACAAAAAAAACAACAGAGCATTATGGAGTAAATTTACAGAAACAGTACAGTTCAACTCTGCTCTTCACACAGTGGCCCCTGTGCTAACAGACAGCTGGCCAGGTAGACGCACGCTGGAACACAGCTCTTTCCTTCTGGAAAGCACACAAATTTAGGTACAAAGTGTACGAAAGCTATCCTATGATGTATCATCCATGCGAATTTTGAGGGATGTTCATTTTGGTCAACTCAGCAAAGGTTTACAAGAAAGAAAAGCTGTACTAAGAGCCAGGACCAAGGTTGAGCCCAACTGTATTAAAAAAAAAAAACCAAAAACAAAAAACTCTCTCGACTCCAGAGGCGAGGGCTGTGGGAAGCCCACCTGGCCCGGAGCGGCGCGGAGCCACTTCTTCCCCGCAGGGACTCCTGCCCTACCTCCACTAACACACCTCTCTCCAGAGCTCCACCCTCAGCCACAGCGCCTAGGGTACACGGAGCCCCGGGGCAAGGCCTCCCTCTGAGCTCGCCTGCTTACCTGCTCTCTCAACCTCTGTGTCCCGAAAACACTCCAAATGAACTTGTCCAAAACTGTAACCTTGCACACAGCACTTCCACCCATCCCTGCCCTCACCCAAACCCGGATTTACCCTGGACGACGCGTTCCCTTGCACCCCGCCAGCTGCACCTCCACAGGCACTCATCTCTCACTGCCAGCGCTTTCATTTCCACCCCATCCTCCAGGACTCCCCCACCAACTCTCACCTCCCTGAGGAAGGGCTCCCGGCCCTCAATACACCTGGGCTCTTCCCACGCCAACCATCCCTCAGCTAAAACACTGACGACATGAAGGCCACAGCAGGGCCAGCAAACTGCAGCCCGCGGGCCAAACCCAGCCCAGCACCTGCTTTTGTAAACAAAGCTTTATTGGGACACACCCACGCTCACCACTTGCAGGCTGCTGGCCGTGGCTGCCTTCACGCTCCAGGGGCTGAGCCAACTGGCTGTCCTGCAGCCGTAAGCCACAAGCGCTCCTCACACGCCTCGAGGGCTCCAGTCTCCGGGTGTGGACACCAGAGACTGCCCCCTCCCTGACCATCCAGTCTGCACCACGCAGCCTGCTGTCTGCTTTACTGTGAGACCTCAACACACCTCCACTGCTCTTGCCCCATGTTCTCCTCCCTTCTCCTGCCTTCCACCTGCTCCTAATGTGTTTTGCCGTATCTCACTGTTCGCTGAACCCAGGGTAGGCAAAGCGAGAGCAGGGAAGCTGGAAGGAAACTTGAAGAGCTGCAGACACTGCAGACGCGTTTATTCTCTGCAGGCTGGCAGGGCAGCCACAGCAGCGGCAGACATGCTGGAGCCTCTCCGCTCCAGGCTGACCCAGCAGCTGCAGCCATAACGCAGTCTTAAGGGCATCTCCGGGGGTGCTTACACAGGGTACCGCGCGTGTGTGGGACTGTAAGTGACCTCCGCTGTTACATAACCACATATTCACAAAACGTGGGGCAGGAGCCAGCGGCCACGGGGGCGAGAGCGCCTGACCACCGCCACCTGGCCACCCGCTCTTTCCCTACGTAAGGCCACGCTGATTGCCGCGGCTGCCTCCCAAGAGCCCAAGACAGAGGAACGAGCTATGCTCTGAAGAGGTCAAGCAGAATTCCCCAACCCCACTGTGCCCCAGCATCACTCCCAAAGCTCCAGGGCACCTTAACAGGGTAGGGGAGCAGCTCTGTTTCTCTACCAAGTGCTACCACTTGTTCACCGACCCCTGCCCCTACCCAGTCCTGCTCAGAAGCAGCGGCCTACGTCAGCCTGTTTCACAGGCAGGACTCCTGCTTACAAGCATGAGAAACCAGTACGGGCTAATTAAAGCACAAAAGCAACTTACTGAAGGCTCACAGAAGTTCTGGGAAGACGCTCAGAAAATGGGAGGAACCAAGACTGGCCACCGTCCAACCACAGGCAGTACCAAGCCTCAGGATACACCTGTGGGAGCGCCCGGGGATTGCAGGCACGCGGCAGACCCCAGGGGCACCGCCGCCCGCTGGGAACAGGATGCTGCAACCACTGTCGTGCCCTGCTGCCTGGGCTCCCTCTCACGTGTCCCAGGACTCGAGGCCCAAGCAGGAGTTCAGAGCTGGCACGGGGCCCAGGCCTGTAGGCACCTGTGTCAGGTGTCCAGGAAGGAGGACAGCTGCCAGGAGGGCTTTGTCAGTGTTGGCGCCCCTCAAGGACACGGACCAGCACTGCTACAGAAAGTAAGGCTGGCTCACGGCCAACCAAGAGAAAGGTCGAATGGTAGAGGTCCACTCCCGTTCCCAGGCCTCAATTTTCTCAACAGTAAAATAGGAATAGTAATACTGTTTTCACCAACCTCACTGGGCTGTTCTGTGGGCCCAGCTGGAAAAGATGGGAAAAGCCATGAATGGGGTGGGCCAGGTACTCCTGCATTTGAACAGGACCTCTGTCCTGCTCGGCACACACCCAACCCTCACCCTTACTCCAAGGAAAGGCTGGAGAGACACGTCCAGGTGTGCAGGGCAAGCCGGGGCAGGACAATGAAGGTGACTCAGGGCGCAGGGGCACGAGGGACTCGCCCACGTGGGAGGACCCTCGTTCAGGCCCCTCGCTCCTCTGGGAGAAGGGCCTTGCGGGTAACCGGGTCAGGCCAGGTTCTTGAGCACAGCCCAGACTGGCTGCACTTCGGAGGCCACTGGCCTGGAATGCAGGGGAAGGGCAGCCAGCCAGCTTCCTGAGCTGGAAGGGCTGCCTCTGGACCGAATAAGAGCCACAGACTCCAGCTCCTCCATCTCTGAGGTGACCACGAGGACTCCGAAGCTCGGCCCAAAGCCGCCGTCTCCCCGGTGGTCTGCAGCAGCACACACCTGCCAACCTGGCACTGGCCCAGACCACCACACCCTGCATGCGGCTGCCTCAGCACTCTCAGAACGAACTCCACCGGCCTGCACAGAGCATGGGGGGCCAGCCACAAATCATGCCAAAAACCAACAGAGGGCAGTTCGTTCTTAACAGGACTAACTGGCAAGTTCAAAATCTCAGTTCTGAACAAGTGGCATGTCACTCCCAGCGATATCCACGCAGCGGATCATGTAGTTACATGAAGTCTGAGGGAGTGAGCTCCTTCGACTTCATTATTGGGTAAACAGGATGGAAATCAAAGCCTACTTCAGTGTTCCTGAACGTGAGGACTCCCCGAGGACTCAGGCCTGGTACGCACGGCCCAGCCCCTCCAGCCTTGGCCTGGTTGTCCTTTCAGGAGCGCCTCTGGGTTTTAAAGCCCATTAGCAGCACCCTGCTCGTCAGAGATAATGCACCATAACCCACCGACGGCTACTTTGCCAGAAAAAGAAAAGCTGCAATTTTTACAGTATTTCATACCAACTCTGCCAGAAATGGCATTTGAGACTCCACAGAAGCCTGAGCATGACTTCCTTTCCTGTAGACAACCAGGAAATTCAGTACAGAGTCCTTCCATGAGCAAGAATAAAAATTAGCTGAATACTGAATCCTACTATGTAATGGATAATGTGTCCCCAGGACAGAGCACTGGGCCATTTGGCGTGGTGTGTGTGTTGAAGAGAAGCCCAGGATGAAATAGCAGACGTGCTACAGGTCCCGTGGAGCTGGCAGGCCTGGTAGAGGGGTGGGGGGAAGCCAGCAGGAGAGACGGGGGTGTCACAGACACCAGGAGGGACCCTCAGAGGCTGAAACCGGGCAGCAAGAAGGGCGCGGTTTCAATAGCAGGCAAGCACATCAGGGAGCCAGGGCGTCTCAACACAGGCTGGTGGGAGGCGCCGTCTGGAAAACAACAATGCCAGACACACACGGGGCTGCTGCGCACGACGGTGGCACAAAGAAGCTGACGGGATCCTGAGCCCTATGAACACGACAGACCTGCCCAGCAACCCCCAAGCGACGTCCCCAGGCTGCAGAGGCCAACCCTGCTCCAGCTCTGAGCTGGAATCCCATCAACGAACACCAGCCCAGAGAAGGTCATGACTGTGACCCCAACAAGTGAGCTAAGAAGGGAGTGAGACCCAGGAACACTCGTGCTCACTGTGGGCGCTCCAACATTCACAGCCCAAGCACCAAGCCCAGGGCCAAGCAGGTTTCTGGCAGCCTGGCAGGACTCACGGCCAGGCTGCTGCCAGGCGGGGAGGGCGGCTGCCCCAGGAGAGCAGGGCCACCTGCTGCAGGGAAACACTAAGAAGGTCTGGAGAACATGCCATCTACACAGAGACCTGGATCACAACAAGGAGCCGGCCAGGCGAGAAGACGTGCCTGAGCAGCAGGCCGGCGGGGAGGCCCAGCACTGCAGAGAGAACCGCGGGTAGACACGCAGCCTCCGGGGGTCAGCATCGAGGCACCCCAGGGCTTTACGCCGGGGACAAACCCACCAGGCTGGCCTTTTCAAAGATGTCCTCTGGCCGCTGTGTAGAGAATGGGTGGGCACGGAGCCTGGAAGTTGTGGCGGAGACCACAGAGACAGTTTGAGGACTGACGATGAGCTCAACCAGTGCGAAACAGAAGGCTGACTACATAAGGAGCCGTCAGTAA